TGTAATCAATGTTCCCGCACCCAGGAAAGTGGGTGTTCATAAGAAGTTCCAGGGTCTCGTTGTTGGACTCAGTCCACGAGCCATCCGGTTTCATGATGTTACTTGGGATCGCTGGATCCTTTGATAACACCTTTCTGAACCTTGCGGCCTCGCTAGTATCCATAAGGGATTCGCTGAACTCCTTAAACGATTCCCACTTTGCTTCTCTTATCTTATACTTAAACTCATTAAAGCTGGTCTTATATATATCCCAGCTCTCTTTTGTCTTATCCCTTTTTGCATTGTTGTAGAGCTTCCTTGTTTCCGTCCTTAGTTGCCTAAGCTCGCCATTCCACCAGGGTTTGGTGGCTTTGCGTGAGCGGCTAACAGGGCAGGATTTTTTGAAAGCCCTTATTAGTGCAACTTCTAGTTCATTAACTAGAGCTTCTATTCCCTCGATAGATGGGTACTTTGACATTTGGAACTCTGGTCCCCCATTCCCGTACCCCTCCACGAGTTCGCTAAACATTTCCCAGTTCGTTCTTTTGGGGTTCCTAAAGGGCTTGCTAGTTGGGGCCGCGCGGTTTATTCTAAATAAAATTCTCCTATGATCCGAGAAGGATCGTTTTAAGGAGACCCTCCAGTCCTCAACTATCAACCCCTCCTCGCCTGTGGTCAAGGTCAGATCTATCACCTCTTCCCTAACCTTGTTCACAAACGTCGGCATATTGCCTCTATTGCAAACAGTCAGGTTATTTGTAAGAATAAAATCCATTATTGACTCACCTCTCTCATTTATATCCTTGCTTCCCCATTGGATGTGGTGTCCATTGGCATCGCATCCTATCACCAGTTGTCTGCCCTGCTTCCTGGCTACCAATACCAGGTTTTGGACGGCCTCTGGTGGTGGTTCAGCCTCATCATATGGCATGTATGCAGAAGCCAGAAGAAGCTTCATGTTCCCCTGGCTCTCGCAGGTCGCCACGGTCAGGTCATTTGTGCTATATTGTGTTAGTAGTGTGAGTTTTAGGGATCTCTTTGCCACTATACACGCTCTTTTCTTACCTGCAGTCTGAGAATGTAGCAGGATATACTCCTTAGTCCTTAGTCCTCGAACCCTGTCCTTTGCAAGCCAGGGCTCTTGGACCAGGGCCACATCCACATTCTTTTCAGTCATGAACAGCATCAAGTCCTCCGTGGCCGCCTCGCAGTGATTCAGATTAATCTGAACCACCTGAAGCCCTGCCCGTTGCGCTGCTCTTGTCATTTGGAAGCCTCGCTTTCAGCGTACCCAAGCCGAATTTGATGCTTCCTTTTAACTTCCTAAGAGTGTCCATAGACTCGTCATCAATCGTGAAGACGAAGTCCTTTCCTTTGCCATTTTGACTCTTGGCCGATGAGATAATCCTCCAGCTTTGAGTCTTCAGGCCTTTATTCTGTTTGCCCAAAATCTTCACCACGGTATCGTCTCCTTCCGGAACCGGAGGTGGGATCCATAGTGAGATTTTCTTCCTCAGCGGTAGTTGTGACATCTGGATGACCTCGAGTTGGGCCCCCTGCCAGAGCTCGCCGCAGCTGCCGATGACTTGCGTTAGAAAGTCGCGTGACTTTCTGTTGCTGCATCCAACAACTTTGACGCCCTTCTGCCAGCCGGCCCCGTCGAAGTCAACCTCCCCGCAACTATCTCCATCCAGCTCGGCTATGGCCAGCAGAACCCTCGTTTCCACCTCCATCCACCTTTCGGCCGTCATCCTGCCATCCGGATCAGAACGATCTATGATGGCAATCCGACAGTCCTCGGGCGAATCGAAGCTTATCGAGGGCTTGACCCTTTTTGCTTTGCTTTCCTCTCCGTCGCCTGATCGCACCCTCTTTACCGTTTTCCTTTCGGAAGGTGGCAAATTGGGTTTGTCCGGCTTTGGAGATTCCACCGTAGCGTTGGCCCTCTGTAGCTTTTTTGCCGGCTTAGTCCTTGCTACCTCTCTTTCTTCGGTGATTGTCTCCAGTTTTGGTTGCTGTTGTTCGGCTTCAAATTTGGAGACCTTTTTCTTGTTTAGTTTGATGAGGTCCCTGTCCCTGGTGGTCAGTTCCTCATCCTTCTTGTTATCCATCTTTTTTAGAAATGACAGGGCATTTCTGTAGGCTTTCCTAGCCTTTTGAGCTGCCGTCATCTCTTTCTTTTTGGATCTTGCTTCCTCCTGGCAAGCTATGTCGGCCTCTGAGTCAAGAAGATCCCTCTCGACGTCGGAGTCCATACAGTCAACACTGCCACCCTTAAGCGATTGCTCGTCATCGGTCGCCCTGTCGATCTGTACTTTCTCCAGCCGGGAAGAGATGCTCCTCGGACTCGCCCCGCCCGCAGGAGTAGCAATCTCCATTTTTCCACTTGATGTTTGTAGAGTGGTTCCGACAGCCAAGTGTTCCACCGTCGGCTCCGAATCGAGTAATATTGAGCCCCCCCCCAGAGTCCGATCGGAGCTCAGCCACTTCCAAGGAAGTGGAAGGATTCCCCATTTCTGGGTTACCTCCTGGGGTATATCTATTTATATCACTCTCTTCCATTGTGGTTTCGGGTTTTTTGATTCCCTTGTCCGCGATCGCTTATTCCGCTCAGAAACAAGTCTCTGATTGTTATTCACGACTGTCCAGAGAGACCTCCCTGGACGTTCCACTATCCGCAACCTGTGGACGCGCCCGGTAGCATGGGAAAACTGCCCTTCACTTTTTAAAAGTGTCCCGGGTAATTTCATCTAATTCCACCAAAAAAGGGATTCAAAGGTATTAACAAATTTTAATATCTTTTAATCCTTTTGCGTTTTCTGGGTATATATTTATATATTTATTCAACACTTGAAGTTACATCCTTACTATTACACTCAGCCGATCAGTAGTACTGCTTTAGACGAGAATACTCGCGCGACTATATCGCCCGTCAGACGCTTTGGAAGAGTTAACTCGTTTGTTAAGGAAACTAGTCAAACTCACAGAAGTCAAGTCGTAAGCATTGTAATGTTGCCGTTTGTGTTGTTTCATGCTTTCAAATTTATCTCACAGAAAAACAATTCAAATAAATTAGTATTTTTTCTTTATGCATTTTTTTACTTCTCCTCTCACCTCAAATATTAATATAAAATCAAACATTAGTTGCTATTGATTAAATAATCTTGATTTTTAGTTATAGGTATTTATAGTCAAATTATAAAGACTTGCTTGACAAACTTGAGGCCCAAGTTAACTCCAAAGCATCTGACGAGCAATATCATCGCGCTAGTATTCTCGTCCAAAGCGTTTGACGGGCGATATAGTCGCGCGAGTAATCTCATCCAAAACAGTTAAAGGGTTAATATTATAAACGCTCTATTTCTGTAATTAAAGGTGATCGATTGGGAGAAATTATTATTAATATTAATATAGTAATTTGATTTACGTATATGTTTACAAAATTTTATATCAATCATGAAAAAAATAAATATAAGTATTATTAAATATAAATAATAAAATTGTTAAATAATAATATAAGCACGTTAAACATTATAAAAAAAACGTATATACAGTGGATGAAAAAGTATTTGCATACTCAGTTTGTTACAATAACTTTATTCGAAGGCATAATACATAAGTATGAATTGTTTCTATAAGTAATTTATTACATACAGTATATGTAATAAGTTACCCACATAGCAAAATATATCACCAAGATATCTGGAAGATATCTAAATAATAGAATATTTGATTGTGCAACACTTGTCGAGATATCATGAGAATATCTCAGAGACATCTCCAAGATTATAAAAAGCCATGATAATTTTATCTCAGATATCATATCTGATTCTGCATATATATCGAATATCTGTATTTCATTTAAAAGCAGATATGTTATATACAACCCAAATAGCAAGAAAAAAAGAAGAATTCTTTTTAAATTCTCGATTACTGAAATTAATTCTCTTTCCGTATTTATTCTCTATAGATTCTAAAATGATTCTTAAAAGTTAAAAAAAATTCATTTTTATATCACCAATTCTGAGCTCTTCTTCAGATATAAAAGAAGTTCCTTTCATAAGAATTCGCAATAAATTCAAAATTATGCTTCGATACTATTCCAATATTTTGCATTTTGCCATCTCTGTATGATATCTCGGAGACATCACGAAAAATATTAGAGCCAAGTATCTCAGATGCTCGCCTTTTATTCTAGCGCGTAAGGATTTTTGCTTACAAGAAGGAAATGGCGCATGTAGCCGCGTTGCGGCAGCGCATGTCACTAGCGCTTGCCCGAGTGATTTTCTAAATTCCCTCGCGGCGTGTTGCTTTCGCGCCACGGTCGTTACCTTTGGCGCCGTCCAAGTGAAAATTTTTCAATTTTCCTCGCGGCGTGTGGCTTTCGCCGGGACGAATCGGTACGGCGTTCAAGTCCTTTCGGATTGTTTATTGGCTACGAATAAACTAGAGTTGATTTTTATAAAATATAAGAACTAACTGTAAATCGGCCATATATTTGAATGCAAATGTTGCAGAGATGTCTTTTTCAAAGATATAATGTGATATCGAGTAATGATGTCCTGCAAATATTCTGTGAATATCTGAAAATAAGATATCTCAGATTTGACTTAAAATTGTAGGCATAAAGATATCTGGCTATATCTCAGATATATTTTGCTGTATGGGTACTTATATGGACACAATTCGTAATTATGTATTATTCGAATAAAGTTATTGTAAGAAAACTGGGTGTGTAAATACTTTTTTGATCCAATGTATATATTAAGTATTTATAGACAAAGCGTATTATAAAGAGCTTCTTTCTTGTATATTTTATCATAGAATATATTATCGCAAAAGTTTGTGCACAACACAACAAAAAAAGAATAGATTTGTAATAAACAATAAGAACAATTAATTTGAAAAAATAAAATATAAAAAGATTAAAAATATTTTTAAAAATATATATATTTACCACAATATTTGTTACACATTGTTATCTCAATTATCCTTTATGTTGTTTATGTTTCAGGCGCCAAATGGCATTCACGACGAAAGATATTAACCCCCACATTTCATTTTAATATATTGCAGCAGTTTGTTGAGATTTTGATCGAAGAAGGTGAAAACATGGCCAAGTCTTTGAAAAATACAGGAGGGACAGTTGTAAAAGATTTAGTACCGTTTGTTAGTGAACATACGCTGAATGCAATATGTGGTATGATGTATTTATAACATAACTATATATTTTAAACTATATATTTTAACTGTAAATTTTATTGCTAGTGACAAATAATATTAGTTAAAGTAATTTAAATCGACCGTGACTGGCAATATATAACGTCTTTTTCGATATGAACATTGAAAAACTGTGAGCCAACTTGGTTTGTCGGATTCACACAGCACTTTTTTTCGGATTAATCATCGAGACATTATTAATTTTGACCATGGGTTTTGGTCAGTTGATGTAATTTCTAAATTAAATAGTTTTTTTAAATTTTATTGCGAAAAATATTACCCCAGCCTCAGTGGTCGAATTGGCACGACACCCGCACGGTATACGGGAGGTTCCAGGTTCAAACCCTGGTTGGGGTAATATTTTTCGCAATAAAATTTAAAAAAACTATTTAATTTAGAAATTTCACAGTTTTTCAATGTTTATATCGAAAAAGACGTTATATATTGCCAGTCACGGTCGATTTAAATTACTTTAATTGTTATTTTATATACTGGCGAAAGAAATTTATTATTCTGTTTAAATAATATTAGGTTAAAATCAATTTTTTTTTTCAAGTTATAAATATCAATATCCAACACACTAATACTTACATAATTTTTGCAACCACAGATATTCTTGAAATATATGTATATGACAATATTATCATAATATCTTTACAAATGTGTTTGCAGAAACTTCTATGGGCACTTCTCTACGAGGCCTTGGTGCGTTCCAGCATCGGTATCGAGAAGCAGTTTATCGCATGGGCGAACTTTTTATTTATAGGTAATGTACATATAAGTGTGATAAGTAACTACATACATATATTCTGTTTTAAGATACAAATTCATATAATAATAATAATAATACTCAAAAGATAGTAAAATATAATAATAATCATACTCAATGTAAAACATCACTTTTGTTGGTAATTAGAAATTTACATATAACATAGGTATGATTTATTAAATTGTTTTTATTTAGAAATTATAATAGTTTACAGTTCTTCAAATGTTAACTATTGTAATCGTCACAGTATAGGTAAGAATGATATCGTGAAACATTTAATCCTTAATCAAATGTAAAAATTGGTAGATTTTTAATCTAGGAAAATATAGTTAAAGAAAGTATATAGTTTATACTAATATAAGATTCCGTGTATCGTTTTAGCAAAATTTTATTTGTGTTGTATACGTATTCTCTTTTTATATACTTACAGAAGTATTACTAATTGTATAGATCGAGTTTAGAGAAAAATTAATGAAAGTTATTACAAAATTATATTATAATTTTCTTAACCCTAGCAAACCACACTTATTTTTGGAATTCCAAATTTGCCACACTCCGACCCATGAAATCGCTCGATTTTGTCGCATTGTTATATTCATTCTAAATAATTGGGAATTGGAAATACAGAATCTGAATAAGATGTTTATGATAATATTAGGTCAAAAAAATAATTTGAGTATAAAAATGAACTTATTATAAGAAAACTAGACAATTATGTTATTATGTGAAAGTCAGAAAATCGAAAGACATTCAGCGGTCCACTGGGCCAGAATGTTGCGAACTAGAATTAAAGTAATATGCTTATTAATTATTATTTATTTAGATTAGTGAGTCCATGGCTGTACAGCGAATGGATGTTACTGTTATCGCCGACAGGTAGAGAGCAAAGGAAGATTCTAAAGATACTGCATGGATTTACTGAACGAGTACGTAAATATGATACTTAATATATATTATATTTGAATATTATTTATTTAGAATAATTACTATCGAGGGCCGTGGATTTACGCAATAAAAAAACTAAAATATGATTGCAGTAAGCTTTAATAATCTCTTAGAAACGGTTATACTACGCGAGCAGCGTTACGCGGGCAGTGTTACGCGGGCAGCGTTACAATGACTACGTTTTCACTCAGCGACCTGATCGCGGCTTGACCTATATTATGACCCGAAGAAGGTCTATAGTCATCATACGTTTACACCGAAAGAGATCTAAAAATTGACGGAATCGTATTTGGGATCGCTCTGATTTGCAGCGAATCCAAAAAAGCAAATAAATAAGCTTTTAGGACGCGTCGCGCGGGATCGCGCGTTTACACCGCAAATGATAACGGCCTATTTCAAGTTGGGTCACTAAAATACGCGGCCTGACTTGAAGCCAGGTCCGGTCGTCTATCAATTGTTTAAAGCAGGCGGTTTAAATAATTTAGGTCAATTTGAGGTATAAGCCGCGGTCTAAATTCAGGGTGTAAACTTAGCTATAGAACGTCTAAGCACGAGAGAAAAACAAAAAAAAACAATTATAAATTAAAAACTATAGTTTATATAGTCCCCTAATCAGAGTTTGGCTATACGGTAGCAACTTTGGATTGGTTCGTCATTTCTTAGCAAAAGCAAGAGAAACAGAAAGAAATATAAGAGACCCAGGTAGCACATACACGTACAGAAATGTTTTATAAGCGTTTTTCCGAAACGTTTTATAACCGATTTCAAGGAATGCTTCTCATGAGTAAAAATGTCACTCAGAAAAATGTCCAGCAACGTTAATCGGAGATTGCGAGCCTATCGAGATTGCGAGATCGGTATGCGAGCCTCGTGCTCGTGCTTGCTCGTGCCTGAGTGCCTCGTATGTGCTTCGCGCTCGCGTGCTTTTCGACCAGAATCTTACAGCTACATATGTGCGTGTTGAGCCGGTTGTGAGAAGTTGTGCAAGTGTGCAGTTTTATCTTATCCCGAATATGCAAATACGAGTAACACATATATGCATGATGATATATGTTTCTCGTATGCATAGGCTGACGAGAGAGAACGAGACGTCTGTCGTAGTCATGGACGTAAAGTAAGGCAGTAGAAAAAAACGTAATTCGTAAAAGGTTGTTGTATGATAGTCATAACAACTTGCGTTTTTCTCTGCCTTGCTTTACATCCACGATTACAACAGACGTCTTGTTCTTTGTCTCATCAGCCATATTCGGAATAAAATATATTATAATCGGATAAGATATAATTGGATCATCTGTTTTTAAATTAACAAATGGATTTTTTGGATCGGATGTGTTTCAATTTTTGGATCGGATAACTTTGGTTGGATATCACTTCGATCTGATTAGGTTTTTTTTCCGATCTAAAAATTTGGAAACATTTGTCTGTTAATTTTCGGATAGATTATCCAATTATTTTAATCGGAAAAAGCCTGGATTTTTCTCTCAGTGGTCCATTCGAAAAACGTTTGATGGAACGCTTCTTTTCTGATAAAATAACATTTAAAAAACTATTATAGAAACGTTTTGTTTTAATGATAAAGACATTTTAGATAAAGACATTTAAAATTCCTACTTTTCACGTCTTTGGAACGTGTTTATAACGTCTTTGAGACATGCGTGAGAATGTTCTAAAAGCTTTATGCATATACCATCTATGACGTCTATTCTTTTTTAAAGAAGTTCCTGAACTGGTGCACACATTTGTGCAATAAATTAAAGTGAAACAAAATATACTTATCTTACTCTAACTTAATTGCATTACTGATGTGCACCAGTTCA